TTATTTTATTTTTTTTTAAGATTTTTTTTAATTTACACAAGCACTGAGTACAGTCAGAAGCGTGGGAGGGTGAGAGAATTCACCAGAGTCAGAGAGGGGAATCGAACAGGCAGACTGACGAAATACACTGCTGAGGGGAGCAGCGGACGGCAGGAGAGATCTGCGCGCCATGTGGGACCCTTGCTGGCGTCTGGGGATCTAACTGGCGCTGCAGAGGCTGTGGGCAGCTTTGCAACCCAGTGCTCAACTGCTGCGCCACTGGGGAGGCCCAGCATGTTCTTTTTAATCGGCACTGCAGTTGGCAGGGCCAGTGACTCTGGTCAGTGGGCCATGGGACATATATGATCAATTTGATTTAAGAATACAACGCAGCTGGGCCATCCCGGTGGCACAGCAGGTTGAGTGCAATGCTGTGAAGCTGTCTGCAGCCTCTGCAGTGTGGGTTTGATTCCTGGCTGGCCAGGGAGATACCTACATGGCGTGGCAGAACTCCAGTGTTTTCGGTCCATCTGCCTGATGTGCTCCCCGCTCTGTCTCTGGTGAATCCTCACAACCTCCCAGGCTTCTGGCCTGTACCCCAGTTCTTGTATAAATAAACTTAAAAAAATACAATGCAGCTGGCTGTGCCCTCCTAATTCCACCATGTTTTGGAAATTAACTTTAGAGCTTGAAACAGTATTTGGCTCCTAATAGGTATTCAATAAATTGAACAAATTAATTTTTTAAATGTTTAACATGTAGCATTCTCTTCTGATATTAAATTAGGAAGAGGCTCAAATTTGAATATTGTCTACCTTGACTTCTATACATAGTTTTTTTTACTTTTCATGGAAAAATACTTGATACTTTTAGTATAGGATGTTTTGTGGAACTGGGTTGCAGTATTTGTCATATCACAGAATTCAAATGTATTCACACCTGAAACTTATATAATGTTACAATACAAAGTTACTTCAGGCCTCCCCGGTGGCGCAGCGGTTGAGCACTGGGTTTCGAAGCTGCCCGCAGCCTCTGTAGCACCGGTTTGATCCCCGGCTGCACCCCGGCCACCGGAGGAGGGTCCCACATGGCGCGCAGACCTCTCCTGCCGCCCGCTGCTCCCCTCAGCAGTGTGCTTCGGTCCCTCTGCCTGCTCTGCTCCCCGCTCTGGCTCTGGTGAATTCTCTCACCCTCCCACGCTTCTGACTGTACCCAGTGCTTGTATAAACAAAACAAACAAATAAATAAATAAAACATGACTCTATAAAAAAAAAAGTATAAAAAAAAACCAAAGTTACTTCAGTGAAAAACCTAAATGCAAATTTAGATAAAATTATTATACAATTGAAGTGTAAGTTCATAACCTTTTCAATTCACAACAGTTAGCCTAAGAGTAATTGAAATTTCATTCCTGAAATCATGCTCAGCGAAATAAGCCAAAAAGAAAAAGAAAAATACCGGATGGTCTCACTCATAGCAGGAATCTAGAAAACTTAAATAAGGGACCAGGAAAATGAATATAAGAAAGTGAAAATCAAAATCAACAAAAAACTATGAACCAGAGACACTTTTTGGGGGGTGGGGGGCGGGAGGGGAAGGATTGGGGTCAGAATGGGGCGTTTGCAATTGTATGGGGGAATATAAAAATAAAATTTAATATTAAAAAAAAAAAAATTTCATTCCTGAAATTTCTCAGTCTTGTTTTTCCCCCAAACTTTACTTTATTGTATAAGATTTGAGTATGAAAATTCAAATTGGTTTAACTTTATGTGTATTCAGGAGGTATTTTTCTGTTCAGTTACATCTACTTTTATTGTACTAGACTATAGATGTAGAAACCATTGAAGAATAGCTTCAGTCTAGAAATAAAGAACTTGAAAGCTTTGGGGTAGCTTTGTTTTATTGACATTTGTCTCATTCTTGTCAGTGCCAACAACCAGTGACAAATGGTGAATAGATATTCCAATTAAAATAAGCTCTACATTATTTAGACCTTTGTTAACTGTGGCTGTACTATACTATCAAGAAGTCTAATATGTATACCTGCAATTCTTATTTGCATGTACTTATGTATTGCGATTAAAATTTATTTACATTTCAATATAAAGTTTGGAACTAATGCTCTTAGAATTCTGCCACCAGAAGATTCCTGTAAAAGGAGTCTGTTCCAAGGGGGCTTGTAAACTTACATGACATCTGGATTCAGTAAGAATTACATCACAAAGTTACCTTTTCAACAAGCTAAACAGACTTTCATAAGTCATTCTCATGGTAAAATACTTGAACTTTTGCTTAAATAATGCTTAAAATAATAGAAGCTATGAAAGGAACACAATTATAGTTTTTATTACTCGAACCATTTTATTACTCTGAACCTTTCAAATAACTTAAAATTCAATCACAGGCCCGCCAAGGGCCTTCAAAGAACATGTCTTCAGGCAGGCCCACACTAAACCTACCCCTCTGAAAATTACATAAAATTTGATCCTATTTCAGTCCTATCACCATTCTTTGGTGGTAGTGTGGTCTGTTGATTTTTTTTTCTCTCCCCATGCTAGCATAGCTATTGTAACGTTTCATACTGTTTACCCTTAAAAGTCTCACCAGAGTTCAACTCAGTAATCATTGTTTTCCAAAGGACACATTCAACAAGTATGCATTGATCATTGATTCTGAAGCCATCAAGAAATTTCTAGCATTTTCTAGTGTTTGACAATGTTTACTGCCAAGCATAGTTTGCCAGAATTCCACAGGTAGCACTTTAAGTTCCTTTCCCCTTATCCTGTCTTTAGAAACCATCGAGGATAGCCAGATACCATTAACCAGTTACTGGGAACTTTTATATACTGTAGTATTTTGCACATTGTGGGCCAGGCGTTTAGAAATAAATCGAATTTAAAAGTTTGGTATCTGTTTTGATGTATTTGCCAATGAATTATTTGGGGTGGTATAAAAAAACAAATACTGAACCAATAGCAATTTGAGTTCAAACTGCTATTTTATTTAATAGCCTAGCACAGTGTCTTAATTGAATAAGTGCTTAGTAAATATTTTCTATTTATTTATTTATTTAATTGATTTATACAAACACTGGGTACAGTCAGAAGCACGGGAGGGTGAGAGTATTCACCAGAGCCAGAGCGGAGAACAGAGCAGGCAGACTGACGAATAACACTGCTGAGAGGAGCAGTGGGCACAGCAGGAGAGGTCTGCGTGCCATTTGGGACCCTGGCCAGCCTGCCGGGGACTGAAGGAATGAATGGAATGGATTAGAGAGCATAAAGCTTTGGCCACTCCTTCCCATGTAACTTTCTCAGGTTGTTCCTTTCTCCTTCCAACCTGCCTCCAACTTAATTCTCCTCTGAGGTCACTGTTTCTCCATCATCTATGTCTAAAACTCCTTATACTTATGTTAAAAAGCAATTTCGAACTTCAATCAAACAAAACACATCATTCTGCTACACCACTTTACCAAGCTTAAAGGTGTGGTCCCTCACTTCTTTGATGTTTTTGGACCTGATAACATTCTTTTTGTTGATTCTAAATGTCAGTGTAACCCTGAGTACATTTGGACCGGCTTTCGTTTGCAAGCATTGTTATAAACCTGTTCTTCCAATCGCCTCACCTGGGTAGGTACTTCTTGACCCACAATTCTACATCTAGACACTGCCTGCTTTGGGAAGCCTTCCCTGATGTTGTGTGATCTGGGCTGGATGTCACTCCTATGTGCTCCAATATGTACTTCCTCTTATAATGGCAGTAATCCATCTAACTTGTAGGTGACTATTGACATCTTTGTTTCTTTAACTAGACTGTAAATTTCTTGAGGGCATGGACTGTGTCTTGTTTGTTCTTATAAACTCTGCCACATACTAAGTGCTTAAAAACTCTTTTTTCTTTTAATAACTTTTACAACTTTTGTTTCCTGTTATGTAAAGTGAAGATAATATTTCCTTACTGTGGTACAGAGGATCAACTGAAATTGCATACATAAATCATTCTGAAAACTGCCAGGACACAAATATTATTCCCAATTGTCAAATGCTTTCACAAGTGCCTTCAACTCACAGATTGCCAATTACAGCCATTTTCAGAGAGTGATTTCCTGCCCATTCTTAGGATCTTGAAAACTGGGTCACTGGAAAATAATATGAAAATGAATGAAATGGAACTTTATACATGGGAATAAGGGAACATCCTATGTTCAAACCAAGTCAGTCTTATTTCACTGCAGATCACAGCTTCTTGTGTGTGCTTGCTTTATAGCTTCCCTACCTGCATGAGCAGTAATGGAAACAGGCTTAACAAACTTTTTAGTCCTGTCAGTTTTTAGACCTCCAATTAAATTCCTGAAAAACCCCAGAGAATGGCTTTCAGTTCAAACCTTCTTGAGAATGTGCTTGCTAAAAATAACATGATTAACACCAGATAATAAAAATTTTAAATCCTGAAAGAGGATTGATGAAAATCAAATTCCTAACATCCATCTTTTTCAATATCTTGGTCATGCACATTAGCCAATTGGATTAGGAGTGTCTTACTCTGCTATAATCTGCTGAAAGCATCATGCCTTTTTTACACTGTGGGTGTATCCAAAGTAGTTGAGCATTAGAACATGTACTCCCTCTAATACTTGCTGATGACATTGACCTTAAGAATGGAGTTTTAGTGATCCTTTAACAACAGATGGATATTTCTTATTGGATTTTTCATCACTTCTTTTTGCCTTCATTGCCACAAAGCCTTTTGAAAGGATTTGTGACCCAGTCACAATTCAGTTACTATCATGGCACACCCATACTTATTCAAAATTCTGTACTTTCTAATGTTATATTGAGAGTGCTCAATAGCTCTTAAAAATTGAACAAATTAATCTGAAGACTTTCCTGCATTGGTAGCATTTAAAAGGTATATGCTATTAATGTCATACTTTGAATAAATAGAAATATTGCTTTTTAATTATCCTGATGGCTTTACTAACTAAGCATCCACTGGATTATTTTATAATTTAGTCTACTCACAGTAACGATGGGAGAGTTTCTAATCTTCTAGGGGATTTTTTTTTCTTCCTTGAAAGGTTATGATAACTAGAATTGGTAGCTCATAAAAAGCCCAAATCAATATTGCCATTGACTTAATCCACATAAGAGGCTTAACTTCATAGGTGACTTCTGAACAACTGAAACAAAACAAAAAATCAGTCTCTGGTGAGTTCCCAAGTTTCAAATAAAGTTGAAAACTGTTGCAGAAAAAATGCTTCTAGACTAACAAGAATGGCAGGGTGGGACCTTGTAAACAATTATATTTAAGCAAATAAGATTTCATGTTTATTCATTTTCAAGAATAAGAGCAAATATTTATTATGTTCAGACACTCTACTAGGTATAATTCATTTACCATTTCAAACAACCCTATGCCATTTAGACACATTTCTAATTCTTAGTTTGCTGCTGATCAAACTGAAACTTAGAGAAGGAGGTTAATTTCCCATGATAACAAATCTTACTGAGTGGTCCAGTTGAGATTTGAACTGGATACTAAAGTCATACTCTTAATCAATATCACACTCACAGTGCCATTTATTAGATAACAGATGATGTTGAATGGGGTTATCATGGAAGATGGTCATCCTTGCCTACCATTAGAAATGTATGGTTTTACTAGTTAAAAGAAAATGTCCTGAGCCTTCTTGAATGTCAAGAATTACTGTGATTAGCATCAGACTAATATCACTTATGAGATTGCTATTCAAGGGCCTCCCTGGTGGCGCAAGGGGTTAAGCACCACACTATGAAGCAATCCTCAGCCTCTGCAGCACAAGTTTGATCCCTGGCCGGCCAGGGAGAAACCCACATGGTGCAGCAGACCTCTCCTGTCTCTCCCGCTGCTCCCCTCAGCAGTGTATTTCAGTCAGTCTGCCTGTTCTATTCCTCACTCTGTCTCTGGTGGATCCTCTCACCCCCCCCCACATCTCTGGCCTGTACCCCAGTTCTTGTATGCAAAAATAAATATATCTTTAAAGAAAAAAGATTGCTGTTCAAGACTAATTGTCATGGTCACTCTCCCATAATAGGATTGTGTTCTTTTCTTTGTTAGCATCCTATAGCTAAGATGAAGATCAAATTCTTGACCTTATACATTCTAACCTCATGCACTAACTACCTGAATTATCTGATTGAGAGGTAATTTACATGTTGATAACCCAATTTTCAAAGGCTTTAGCATAACAGCTTTTCTACTTTAGAAATTTATATTCTCTGACTTACATTTTATTCTTTCTATCTCATTAAAGTGGTCAATCAAGCGTCAGACTATATTGGCAGGTGTTTTTCCCTGTCTGTAGCATCACGGTCTTCTTCATTTCATTTTCTACTAATATCTGTAGGAAACCCAACATTTAGGTTAACAATTTTTCTAATACCTTAGTGAGTTGTTTGATGTCCTCAACAGATGTTCTTTTCAAGATCACCAAGGCCTCCATGTTGAAATTCAATGGCTAATTCTTCTTTCATCTTGACCTTTGAACAGCTTTTGACACTATCGATCGCTTCTTTCTCTTAACTTTATTTGTAGGATATCACATTCTTCTGAGTCTTCTCTTGTCCCCTTGATCATTTCTTTTGAATCATCCCATGATTCTCTGTTAGATCCTCCTGATTTTCCCAATCATTAAGCACTGGAGGTCCTAAGGACATTTATCTTTGACATACTTATTCTCTTCCTGTCTCATATATTAACACCATTTATATGCTTAAAAAATTATAGCTTCAGCTTGGACCACTCACCTCAAATTCAGTTTCATATATCCAGTTACCTATTTTTCATCTCCACTGGGATATCTTATATTTTAAGCTTAATCTACCTGTGTCAGACACTTCCAGTTCTTTCTACCTCACATTCTCTTTATGTCATCTTTTAATTCCAGTTGTTACTTTGACTACCAGTTGTTTTGGTTACCATTGTCCATATGACTTGCATATGTACACTAACAGTAGTACCAGCTAACTCATTTCTTGCTTTTTCTACTACCTCTATGTGGAATACCTGGAGAAACCCACTCAACCATTTGGAGGTATGTACAAATCTGGAAGCATGAGAGTGTTAAAACACCATGGGACAACTCTTGACTTAGATTAAAAAACCAGTAATGGATATCTCCCTCCTCTGGATTCAAGGAAACTTCTGCTTATTTTACAAATTCCTCAGACGATCCCCAGTAAGATTAAACTTCAGCTGCCCATAATGTAATCAACTCGGAAGCCTACCCATGGACTGATTTTCCCTACTTCTTTATTTCGCTTTTACATTTTACTATATTTCACTTTACTTCTCCATTCCTTTTTGCCAGATCACTTTATAAAATTCACTCCCTGCACACAGTTCTTTGTCTCAGCTTCTGAGTTTTGGGAAACTTGACTAAGATACCATTCAAGACCAAATTCCTTATCCTCCCTCCAAAACTGGCTCTTCCTTTAACCTTGTTTGACTTAAATGTCACCATCTCAGTGAGCCTTTCTCAGACTATGCTGTTGAGAATTATAGTCCTTCCCACACACACTCCTTTTCTGCTTCCCCCCCCCATAGTACTTATCACTTAGGTGACTATAATTTATTGCCCAAACAGGAACTTTTTTGAAGGTAAATATGTATGCTAGGAATAAACATATTTGGTATATAGGCATAAACCAAGACTATCTGAGACCACTGAGACATTATGGTCACTCTACTTATCACCATCTGCCATACTATTTGACTTATTTTTATTTTTTCTTTATATATTCATTTATATTTGCTATATATGTGTGTATATATATATGCTCTGATAAATGTACATATAATATGTATTTATTACTGTATTTTCTTACTATATATTTTTGTCTTTCCACTAGAGTTAAGTTCCATGAAAGCAGAATCCCCCCCCAGCTGAATCCTAGTACTTAGAACAGTGCCTAGATCATATTAGCCATCTGATAAATATTTATTGAATTAACACAAATCCACTAGAATAGTGTCTGGGCATAATTAGCTTTCAATGGACATTAATTATTGTTATTAGTACTTGTTATTGTTATTATTTATCATCAAATAATATGATTAATTTTAGTTTTGACTGATAATAGTGTTTCTTTGGTAGCACCACTGTTTTGTTTACTCCTCAGTAATATTTTCATGGGCTACCTGTATAAAGATGCCTGTATCTGCGAAATAATTTTTATTGAAATGGCCTTCTCTTCCACTTCTTAAATCCTTTGTGATTTATGACATACTGATGTATTGTTCTTTTGTACTTTTCAGGACAGATAAAAAAATTAGTTGATAAAAACCTTTTGTGAAGTTCATATCTTAAAATATATTGTATTAACTTATTTAAAACCTATCTCAAATAAGTTTGAACTTTTAATTGTAATAACAAGTACCATATCTCTTGCACACTTTATCCAGTTGGAGAATGTGGCTAAAAATATCTTAGAGAAGTGATTTTGAGTTCTTTCAGTAGAATTCTGGAAATGCAAATTAAGTTAATTGTAATGATCAATCATTTACTGGTATGTTAATTTCTTAATGCATTCAATTTATCAGCAGCAGGTTTTTCCTAATTCTAAAGAAGCAACGCCTAATTCTCTTTTTACTGATTAATTGTAGAGAATTATACTTCTGGCAGTTGACAAAGGGACTTACATGGCTTGCTTCAATACCATTCAAGACATAGGTAAATAATAAAAGTAAACAATTCATGAGAAGTGGAAACATAATTAACAGCAATCTTATGAATGTTTGTCTCCTCTTGCAAAAATCCTGGTAAGCTATGGCATGAGCTTCCGGTTTTCTTTGGATGATAAGTACTTGTTAGCTAATCAATGTATAATCCCAAATACTCCTTCAACATTAAAAAAATTGACATTAGCCAATTAGATAATTCAATTGAACAAGCATTTATGGAGCATTTGCTTTCCAAAGAATTTCCTTTTGGTCAGAGACACAAATTAAAGGCAGCAGCATTCCTTTGTAAAGCTGATGTTTGGAAGCATAAGTCGTAGCTGTTTTTTTTTTTTTTTAATTTTGGCTTTGTCTTACTGAGCCTTCATATTTCAAGGCAAAGGGTTTTCTTTTCAGCACATATGTAGCCTTATAATTGTGGGCTGCATTGTAACAAAATTTTGCTTTATTGAGATAGAATAGATGCATTGAAAGTTCACTTGGTAAGTTCTTTCATTTTAATACTGAATTCTGTGCTGAGAAGCCTTGTCTTCTAACCTTTTGTGCAGATAGTGTCCCTTATTCCCATTTGCCCCCTTTTGGATTACCTCTACTATATTGTCTACTAGAAAGATCACATCACTGGGTCAAGACTCATGCTTTCAATTTTGTTTCATTCACTCACTGAATGACCTTAGGTCTTCTTTTAACTGCCTTTACTAGTATATTAATAGTCACCTGGGGTCTTGTGGCACAGTTAATCAAAGTCCTAAAAATAATTTGAAATGTGCAGCCCTCCCTTCTGCCTCTAGAGAAAATCTTTGAACCAAAGAAGAACAGTAAAATGGAAAGGGAGATTTTCTACGATAATCAACAATATCTCTGTGTGATGATTTCCTTTTTGGCACTGGCCTGTCTGATCCTCCTTAGTTTCCTAAAACCGAAATACTCATTTCTCAGATTCTTCTTTATAATTTCTCATTTGAAGAACAGACCTTAGAAAATGATAAGACTGACATCTTTTTGAAATAAAAATAATAAAACTGGTGATATTTCTTTATGATGCCTGCATTAAGCACAAAAGTACAGAAATGACTTCCAATATAGGCTAACAATATAATATCAGCCTTAATCTGCATGTAGATATGGTTCAGAAAAGTGATTGAACTCTAGCAGTATCTAAATTGTTAACAAGTTAGTTAAGTATTTATTTCTCCTGTAAATTACATTGCCATCTTTTTCTCTACTGTTTTTATCTCTCTGTCCAGTGCTATTCCCAGTATTCAGTGATTTCCTATTGTTATTAATAGACTTCTACTTATAGTTAATTAAAACCTTATCAAAATAACTTTGAAAAATTCAAAGGTACATTTTTGACTTATCCATAGTGAGGAAATATGGGGGGGGGCAAATGTACAATCTTCAAGGGGGGCTTTGGTGTGCATATTCCTCTCCACACTGGTGAAGGTTTCAACACTTTTGTGATTGATGTTGTGAATGTGGTGGTAACATGGGAAGAGTAAAACACAAGTTGAAAAGTTACCAGTTAAGAGGCTATTGTGGTAATCTAAAGAAGGAGATTATGAAGGACGTAACTTAGGCATTGAATATCTGAGTCATGGAAAGAAGACATACATGAGAGAGGTATTATAACTGATAGGATTTAGTGATTGACTGGATACAGGTGATGAAGGAGAGAAAAATGAAAGTTTCCATCTTGGTAAGGCAGTGCAGGGCGTTGGTAGTTGTCAAGGTAAGGAATAAAAAAAGGCAGGGTTTTAGGGGGGAAAATGTTCTTTTTAAATCTTGATTTTGTAGACACTGTAGGTTCTCCAGATGGAAATATCTGATATGAAATTAAATGTACAAATTTGGAGAGTGGTGCTAGAAAATGGATTTGTTGATATATAACTGGAATGCTTGGTGCATGGAGTTCTTTTGATGCATAATAGATCTTTGAGATTCAATGTGATCATATAGGAAGAGCCTGTATGGTGAGTAGAGCACAGAGAAGAAGAAAGGTATTGACAAAATCATGATGCTTACTGATATATAAAGATTGTTAGGAGGAGGAGCCCAGGAAAAATGCTGAGTGTTTAGAGAACTAGATGAAAGAGCAAGATAAACTGGTAGTATAGAAGTCAAGAAATATTAAAGAATCCAGAAAGAGGGGATAACAGTATCACAAATGAGGAAAGTCTGGTAAAAACTCTGAAACTCTTACCAGATGTGAAGATTAGGAGTTTATTGCTGACTTTATCAAGAGAGTTTTTAGTGCAATAGTAGAAGCAGAAGACAGAGTCCAGTAGGTTAAGGAATGAGTGGAAAGGAAAGAAGTGGAAACAATAAGGATATGCTATTTAATGTGCTTGCCTGAGAAAGAATGGAATGTTTGAGGAAAGGACATTAAAAGAGAACACAAAAATGGAGAGTTAAAGAACTCAGTTTCCAGAAAGGAATTTTTGTTGTTTTGTTTATTTGATTTTTTTTGATAATTAAAAAAAAAAAACACTTGCATGTATAAGCTGTCCTAGCCCCTGTACCTCCCACTCTGTCAATGAATAAATATTTGAAGTATGAATGAATGCATGTTAAGAGACTGAGTCAAATGACTACTGAAAAAAGAAAATTTTGAGTGATAAGAAAGAAAGGTAATATCTAACAGAGCAAGAGTCTGGAGAAATCCCAGAGGCATGGGATCCAGAATATGGAGGAAAGGTTTAGTGAGAGGAGGGATAATTGAAGGAACTCATCATGTCCTATAACATCTGTTTTGTATGTTAATTAGGAGACAATGTCATTTGCCAAGATTTAGTGAGAGAAGATATGAATAGAGTAGGAAACATTAGCAGAGTGAAAAATTAAGAGATAGAGCAGCTACAAGCAAATATACTAGGTTTTATTAGGGTTATAAGGAAGGTTAGCATATAAATTAGGATGTTGGTTGTAAGTGACAAAAAGTCAACTCAAGCTAACTTAATTAAGCAAAGAGGCAGAATTTGTTGATTCAGGGATTCTTAGAAAAAAAACATTTTTTGAATATCAAACTTCAGAAAGGGCAAGAGTGTGACTGACATCAGAAACAACTAGTGAATCAAATATTATCAACATAGTTTCTAAATCTTTCTAATGCTTTTTATATTTAAGCTTCATTTTCCTTTATGTACA